TTAGGGATTTGTAGTTGTTAAAATACTACTAATAATATTCTGTTGTACAAGTGCTTTCCCTTCTTTTGGTACTCATAATACAACTGAGTCATTTACTATTGCATAATAACAATGAGTGTTTTCCAACTAAGTCATACTCTGAGTAGTGCTATTCAAATAAGTGGACAAGTAATTTTAGATTTATTTCAGTGCATCTGCCCTGAGTACAACTAACACAATATCACCTGATATATTTCCATTATGTATCAAACTAAAGTATGAAGATAAGGAAGCTTATCCATTCCAATGGAAACTCAGTGTACACTCAAACAACTAGTATTCTGATGTTACGGGCTGTACATACATGTCTAATTTTTAGATCAGAAAGGTTATGGCCAAAGCTATGAATCTGATGAGCTCTGTTATGAACACATAGTTTTGGTTCAGTCCTATCACAGGAAGTAGTTTTCTCAGTCCAATGAAGTTTTCCAGGAACTATAACAGGCTTCCTCAAACTCGGTCCTCCAGATGTTTTGAGACTACAGTTCTCGTCATCCCTAACCATTGGTCCTGCTAGCTAGGGATCATGGGAGTTGTAGGCCAAAAACATCTGGAGGGCCGAGTATGAAGAAGCCTGAACTATAGCATCAGCAGGGATAGGCATCAACCAAGCAGTACTTAATCAGAGTCGTGTGACTGTGTCTCAACATACAGCATCTTAAGCAGTATAATTACAGGAGATGTAACAAGGATTTGTGGATAAACTGTTTCTCTATAACTTTTTAATTTTTTTCTGGAATTGCAACCAGTCCACGTTCATCACTAGTTGTTATAAACAGTCTGACTATACAGCCTGATGCATTCTCAGCCTAGATTTCCTTCAGCACTAGTAGTTCAGATTTAAAGGAGTGTCCAGTCTACCAAGACCAGTGCTTGATTCAATAGTAAACTTAATCAGTATCAACTGAGCTGATTTTATTTCCGTCTTAATGAAAACCTAAGTGCAGTTCTGTCTCCTGTTCTGTTTAACAATCGTTGACAGCTACTGAACCTGAAGATGGATCAAAGACGACATTTTAGTAGAGCACTGAACCAAACCAATAAATGGCTGCAGCTGGGACACATCTTGTGGTTGTGATGCAGGAAACATCTGTGTGGTTTCTGTGGCAAATAACTTTAGATAGCAAGTTTTTGCTTTAAATTGTGTGCAGGTGACATGGCATAAACCATTTGAAAGAGCTGCCTACTGTTGTCAAAAGGAGATTTTGAGTAATTGTTTCGAGATACGGTTGTTAGATCCAGGGCAGCTGGGAGATTAAGTTCACCAAGCAATCTCCCCAAGGCCCTGACAGGTAGTATTCTTTACATGCCACTTACCTGCTATGTGTATCAACTCTCCAGATGAGCATCTGAAGCTCTGTGCTAAATGATATGAAGAAAATGCTACCCATGGTGACTGCTTTGCCTTGGGTTTAGCAAAGGATAGGATATTGTTAGGGTTGAATGACTTGTTCAATTTGAAGTGGGAAATGGGCTGCAGTTAATTAAAAAAAAATTGTATTGGCAAGATCCTATCTAGAAATGTTGCCAAGTAAATGGCAAATCATATAATAAATTTTCCCTTTGAACAATAAACCAGGATACTTCCCTTTAGGGGTACGAAAATGTGTTTTATGCATATACCCTCATAGGCACCCTAGAGAGCTAAAATGTTATAAGAAGTGAAATGAGTCAAAAGAAGTTCTAATAGGGAGATGAACCAAGAGCCAGGGTGAATGTATGAATCTATGAGGAGAATTTACCAAGTTATGCCTACTTGAGCATTGTACTTAGAATCATAAAGATGATGCCAACCCTTCTAATTTAAGCTTATTTATTCTCTTAGACTAGAAAGAATGATCTCCAGAGAAAATAAATGTTCAGCATGAGAATGTGCATTTTGCAAATTAAATAGAAAAGCACTGCAAATTGTGAAATATTTTGGTCCAAACACACTTTTAAATGTAGCATCATATTGTTTTCCATATGAGACATTTTTCAAATATGATCTCCTGCTGAGAGAGATCATTGTATCTGAAAAAGCAGTGGAAACCTGTCAATAATACCCATATGTCCTATAAAATGTTTTTATTTCTTTCATGGTATGTTATGCTTCATCAGTTCTCTTAATCCTAGCTTCAATTCACGTTGCCATTCTGAAACAGCTCACTGAGCAGTAATTTATCTCTTGGCTGGGCATAGCAACCGCAACTACAGGTTATTTTGGGAGCAGGGATTTGCATTGCATAAACTGTATTTTGAAAATCATTTCCAAATGAGATTAATTTGTGATAGGGAAGGTAGTCCTCTATTTTTAGAAAGCAGTCTCTAAGCCACTTGAGGCCGACACTTGAATGCTTTCTCAGGTATCGGGCGGAATCTTCATTTGAGGATTAGAGGAGGGATGCCACAGGAGAAAGGAAAAGACGTCTCTCCCTATTTGTTTTAATACGCATTTAAAATTGGCAATGGAAAGATAATGACAGATTGCGTCCTAGCCAAATATTTCAGTTGTGCTCCAGATGACTTGTATTTCTTTTCAATTAGGCTGACTGCTTTAGCATAGGAAGAGATTACTGTTCCTGCATGCTGAAAAGATATTAACAATTAAAATAGCAGGAGAATGGGGGGCTGGGTCGTGTACTAGAGGATTATTGTTGTTTTCTGTGCAAAATGACTGGGGATTCTCTTTCTATCATTTTAATGTTTGTCATTAAGCAAAGATGGTTACATGTCAAACAGCTACAGTTACTATGCATTTTTTATATAAAAAGGGGGGGAGCAGAAATATTTGCATATTTGCTATGGAAGCAGCATTGTCTGAGCATCAGTGAAATGGCCCACACAAAGAGGTAGCATGGATTCCAACTCTATGGGGGGCTGGCTATATCTGCCAAGTGGCACTGGAGAAGCACAACGGGAACTAAACCCAGAGCAACAGACTGGGTTCTGACTCCAGCTCAGAGGTACAAGTCCAGTCCATTAGCACAGCAGCACCAGAAGACAACCCAAGCCCCACCACCATGGCTAGGCCTGACACAGCAAGCCTAAAAGATAGTGGGCTCTTGTGTTCAAGACTGCCAAGGCAGGACCTCCAAAATCCATATTCACAGGGCCTGCACAACCTAAGAAACTGCCACCCTTGATACCAGGAACCTGCCTCCCCATGTCAACTTGTCAACACAGAATATGCACCCAGAGAGAATGGTCAGAATGTAGATGTGCTATGCTCCAAGGCAAGACCTTCTCCTTTAGGCTTTTCATTCTTTGAGAGACGAGGTGGACCTTTGTTGGGTGGATGAGAGGCAGAAGTTCACAACCTCATTTCTCTTTCAGCCTTTGTCAGAGACAGTTGCTGATGTGGAACTCTTTGCTGTGTTATACACCATATATCAAAAACAAGACAGGTGGTGCTTTGACTGACAACAGTAAAACTCCCTCACCTTGGAGGTTCAAGCTATACCTTTAAGACAACAAACAGTCTAGGGTAATTGGTGTATTGACCTGCTTCCCTCACAGTTAGAGCCTCATAATTGCTCTTCGTTTGAGGGGTCTTTAGAGAGCCCCCTTTAGACCAGGGTTGTCAGTGTGGTGACCACCTGACAGGGGTGCCAACCTAGCCCCGTGACCATGGGTGCCGTGCAGCATGCATAGCCCTGGCACCAAAATTTGTGGGTTCCTGGCCCCTTCATGAGGAATTTTGTGGGTGCTCTGGCACCCAGGGCCCCAGAGATTTGGCACCTATGCCTCCTGATGTGGTTGAAATGTCCCACATCATCTCTCACCATTGACCATGTTGGTTAGGACTAATGAAAGTTGGTCCCACAACTTCTTGAGGGCAAAACATTGGCTTTTCCTGCCTTAAATGTAGTGAGGTAGATAAAGGAGCCAATGAAATCCATTTAGCCTCTTTACAAATGTCTAGCTCATTGAAAGAGGAGTCACTCTTAAGGAGACTTCAAGCTGAGAGAATTCAAAGTGTTAAATGTTGTGCTCCTAATTCTGAGTCAAGGTCAAGCTCTATTTGGGCTTGATTACAACTGCTTCACCCATCATTCCCAGCCTGTGTCATCTTTTCCCCTAAGCAAAAAAGAATAAATAAATAAAACTTTGGAAGACCTTGTGGGAGGAAGAGGTGATAGGCAATGAAGAAGGCTTACTTCCACAGCTGAGAGGCCATGAAAGGTCACAAATTGTCTACATTTCCTGTCATGGATTGTGGGGACTTACTGACAGAAAACTAGCATTCAGCAAAAGACTTCTGACAGAAAATTGCACACGATCAGTAGGCATTACCAATAATATGTGGGATATGTATCACAACAGGGGGAATGCCCATAAAAATAGAGAGGTTAGTATGGAAGTGGATAGAGAAGGGGGGGGGGACTGGGGAAATCTCTTATACATGATTAATGCATTCTAGTGTTCAAAAACATTTGGTGCTACAGTTATATCTTATTCTGAAACGGAATTAACTTCAGCATCTCAGTGTATCAGCTATTATGATATGTCCTCAGGCAATGTCCTGAGACTACTTACTCAGGGAAGATATAGCTATCTTCCAGCAAATCGTCTGTGTTGCCTACTTCCTCACATCATGTTCTATGACAAGTATCTTGTTAGGAAATCTCTTCATGGTTAGCATGTATTGAATAATGCAGTCAAAGAAATGAAGCTGAGCCTCAAAGCATTGGCTCCTCAGTTTACATTCATTAGTGTGGCTGCAAGGTAGGAGTTTTCAGTGGACTTGCAGTATTTCATGCCTGCTGAGATTCAAACACCCGGAGATTATTAAGAGCCTCAACTCACAGCAAGTGTGCGGCTTCAGAAATTCAAGATATATACTGTTTAATATCTGGTTTTCCACCAAAAATGGAACCCAAGCACTGGGGTACACAGACCATGGGCTGAAACAAAGGATATGAAGCAAACAATGAATAAGCAACGTCATTCAATCTCTTAGAAGAAACTTTGGGAATAGCATCCTGTTCTGTCATGGGCTTTGGAAAAGAAGATTAAAGAAATGAAACACAATGAAATGTATTTGACAGAAATAAAACCTACAGAATAATGTTTGATAGCAAGTCATTTATATTTTGAATATGAAACTATTTTTGCATTCCTAGTGGAAAATGCAAAGCTCTGTAGTGATGTCACAACTTCTTGCTGTTGGCATCCATCTGCTTCAGGAGACAGTGGAGGAGTGTGCCTTTGGGGGTGAAGTCAAACTATTGGAGAGTTACTGAGATTGCTGTGGCTGTAGAGACTGATATGGGAGAGACATGTTTTGTTGCAGCTGGGGCAGATGAAGGCAGCCAGTTGTGATGTTGCAAATGCACCATGGTGTTTCTTCTCTCTATGCTCCTCCCAGTGGTCATTCCTCCTCTGGTCACTACTGTGGATACACAACGTGACTGACTGTCTCCAGGCAGTGTGGTCATCTGCAAGGGATTCCCACATAGTGAGGCTGACATTGCCAACCTACATGTCTCATTTGCAGATATATTTGTAAAAACATATGAGGAGAAGGCGTTGAGGAAAAAATGAAATACTTATACTTTTATACAGCATAGATTTTTATGCAGTTTATAAATCTAAGGGTATTTGTATTTCATTTGTACTTTGTATATGCATGTGTATTTTCCTCTAATAGCAAACTGAGCTGTTGTATGCTGTGACAGGAGTGTAGCCCAAAAAGCAGAGGCACTGAGAAGTGAGAGAGAAGAATACAGATACTTGAGAAACTTCAACACTGGAAGAAAGACAAAAATATTTTAAGTGAGAACCCTGCAACAGTCCACTGAAGAATGAGTGTGGCCAGTTGCCACAGAACACCAACTGCCTGTTGGGGATGGTGAACAGAAAACTGAGAATAGGAATGAGGTGTCTTAGACGAGAGCACAGCTGGTTGGCTGGCTAGCAAAATGAAGAACAACACTGCAATCTGTTGTAGCTGATGTGACAATGCCACGTGTATTTAAAACAATTCTTTTTGGTCCACAATGTCTATGGGTCTATCTATAACTTTTCTATCTTTATTGACTGTGACAAAATCCCTGAAATAAAGTCATGCAGAGACACACATTTTGTGGATACTCCTCAGCTACAGGACTTGCTTCCAGAGAGATCTAAGCTTAATGAGGTTTTGGAAGTTCATTGTGAACTGAATGGTATTGTGGTAGTGAATAACTCCCTTTGTGAAATGGCCATTCATGGCTACCACCCGCAGCAGCTGGGAAATTGTTTTCACACTGCAATTTAGTGTACCACTGCAATACAAATGGTTACCTACTACTACTACTACTACTACTACTTTATTATTTATACCCCGCCCATCTGGCTGGGCTTCCCCAGCCACTCCGGGCGGCTTCCAAAAGAATATTAAAATACTATAATACATCAAACATTAAAAGCTTCCAGAAACAGGGCTGCCTTCAGATGTCTTCTAAAAGCCTGGTAGTTGTTGTTCTCTTTGACATCTGGTGGGAGGGTGTTCCACAGGGAAGGCGCCACTGCCGAGAAGGCCCTCTGCCTGGTTCCCTGTAACTTGGCTTCTCGCAGTGAGGGAACCGCCAGAAGGCCCTCGGTGCTGGACCTCAGTGTCCGGGTAGAACGATGTGGGTGGAGACGCTCCTTCAATATATACTGGACCAAGGCCGTTTAGGGCTTTAAAGGTCAGCACCAACACTTTGAATTGTGCTCGGAAACGTACTGGGAGCCAATGTAGGTCTTTCAAGACCGGTGTTATGTGGTCTCTGCGGCCGCTCCCAGTCACCAGTCTAGCTGCCGCATTCTGGATTAGTTGTAGTTTCCGGGTCACCTTCAAAGGTAGCCCCACGTAGAGCGCATTGCAGTAATCCAAGCGGGAGATAACCAGAGCATGCACCACTCTGGCGAGGCAGTCCGCAGGCAGATAGGGTCTCAGTCTGCGTACCAGATGTGGAGCTGGTAAACAGCTGCCCTGGACACAGATTTGACCTGTGCCTCCATGGACAGCTGTGAGTCCAAAATGACTCCCAGGCTGTGGACCTGGTCCTTCAGGGGCACAGTTACCCCATTCAGGACCAGGGAATCCTCCACACCTGCCCGCCTCCTGTCCCCCAAAAACAGTACTTCTGTCTTGTCAGGATTCGACCTCAATCTGTTAGCCGCCATCCAACCTCCAACCGCCTCAAGGCACTCACACAGGATCTTCACTGCCCTCTACATACTGTAGTCTACATACTGCAGTCATGTACAGTTTGGTTCATTGTTCTATTGGCACAATGTAGCAATGCCTATAGATATTATAACCTCCAGACTAGTTCCTAGAGGTTACATAGTGGACTGGTTACCTGAGTGAAAGTTCCATTGAACTCAAGATGATTTGATTATATTGTAAGTGAGCAGAAATGTCTCATGATATAAGTTTATGGCCTTTTTAACCCTCCCTACCCCAACTCTTCTAAAACTGTTGCAATTTTTCAATTCTTCCCAGGAGAATATTTGACAAAATGTTCTCAATTTCACCCACAAATAGTGGGTTTGGAAGTCATGTTTTGCTCAGCTGCAGTCTATTTTGAACAGTCATTTAAGCTATGGGAAGTGAGTAGAGCCAGTGGCGTAGCGTGGGTTGTCAGCACCCGGGGCAAGGCAAGTAATTTGCGCCCCCTAACCCGTGGATTTTAGCACTCAGAGAGCTGCGAGTGTGAGCGCCCCCCCCCCAGATGTTGCGCCTGGTGCGGCCGGCCCCCGCTGCACCCCCCACGCTACGCCACTGAGTAGAGCTAGGACGATCTCTTTCCTTCCACCTGCTAATCCAGGTTTTTTATCATGGCAGTGTTGATGTCACCTTTTGCTCCTGACACACTACTAGCTTCTAAGCCAGGGATGGAGAACCTCAAGCCCAGGTGCCAAATGCAGTCCTCCAGGACTCCTGAGCACCAGATATGCACACACACCCAGCCACATACCTTCACAAGCCCTGCTTGGCACCCTCCTTCGGTGTTTCTGCATGGCTAGAATGTACCTTGAAATCTAATAATGCTTATTGCTTGCCTGGATAGAGATGGACATGTGAGTGCATGGAAACTAGCTTAGTGTGCAAATGTAAAATTGGGAACGGGCTGTAGCTCAGTAGTGTGCATCTGTCCCAGGTTCAATCTCCAGCATCTCCAAGTAGGCTAGGAAATAACCCTATCTGGAAGCCTCGAGCTGCTGCTACCAATCAGTGTAGACAATACTGAGTTAGATGGACCAATTGAAGTTTCCGATGTTCTGAAGCATTTACTGCCAAACTTATTTTGCAAAACTAATGGCTACTGAAAAGGATTCTATGGGTAATATAATATTTAGGAAATAGTCCTGTGTGTTTTCTTGTTGGTTTGTTCTATCTGAATAGATTTTGTTTTTTGTCCAGCTTTGCTTTAAAAATCACATTGTATGCTGATAGCTAAAGAGACAAAATGTGAAAAGTACACATTCAGAATGGCTTTCTCAGGCAAAGCTATTAAATGCTAATTTGAAACAAAAATGAACTGAAGGAAATGTTCTCTGAAAAGGCTTGAGAACTACTTGTGGAAATGGGTTAAGAAATAAACTATCTCACCTTCCTATCATCACAGAAACAAGAGCCAAAACATATGTTTAGTATGTAAAAAGCAAAAGTAACTGTCAGTAAACTGAAATGGAGGAACGTGGAAATTGTTGCCTGAATTAGAATGTTGTCGATACCAGCTTAATATCCATTTTCATGTGTTTTTGAGACAAAGGGGGGAAATAACAGTGGTCCATCACCCACTAGAACAATTCCACTTACAAGATTTTAGAGTGGGTGTTGGGAACCTAAGACTGGTTGTGAGGGAATCAGGGTCCTCAGGACATCTCTATCTGGTCCTCAGCAGTCACCTCAAACCATATCCCTTCCCCAGCCACACCCACTTTCCCCAGGCCACTCCCCTCACTTGCCCCACTTTGCCACCTTCCTGTGTGTTTTTGCTTTTCTGGAATGTGTAAAAAATAATCACCTACATTACTTACTTGAGATTCCTTCAGGTTACTTCAGGTACTTTCTCTCTTCATGTGGACTGTTTAAAAACACACATTTTTACATTTTACAGGGCAATTCTGTACATGTTTACTTTGAAGCACGTTCCACTGAATTCAATGGGGCTTGCTCCTACATAAGTAGGCATGGGATTGCAGCTGTGATCTATATAAACTCTTTCTATTCCTAGCCCCATGGAGTGAGTTAAGAGGAACAGCTCATAAAGCAAGATGACTAATAAATGTCACTTGAGATCCATTTCCACACAAATCATCCCTACAGGAGGAAATTGTATACAATGATACTTGGAAGATTTGCTTGTCTTTTTTATTCAGAATAGGGGAATAAAAACATGTGAGGTTCTTTTTTAAAGAAAATGCAGATTTGAGGAGTCTTACCTTGCAGTTGCAGAAAGGCAGTCAAGGTAATCATGGGAAGAATTCAAGGTCATGCTGTGTCAATCATTCTGTCAGGGTAAGCTTTTCACCTTGCCAGATGAAGCGAATGCCCCCTCCTTCCACTTCATGCTCCTCTGGGGGTTCTCCTGACCCTCCTGAGTGATTTTTTTCAGGGGTGCAAAAAGAGGAGGGGGGAGGCCCCATTGCTCAAGCAAAAGTCCTTGTACAAGGCTTCCACTGACAAGACTGGTTAAGTGAATCATGCACCAAATTTTTAAAGCCTTGACAGAATTTATAGTCCGTGGTCAGAACCCAACTAGATGTAAATGCAGGAGTTAAAGCAACCAGGGTGGGATGTTTAATGAGATTACTGCCATAGCACTAGAGTGTCATGGGCCAGGAGTCAGCTTTGCCTACTGAACAGCAGCAAGAAGGGAGGAGAAGGTGGAGTGACCACCTGCAGCCTTCAAGGATTCAGAGAAGAAGGTTCTGATGAGAACCAGCTGGCTTCAGCCTTCTTAAGCAGAGCTTCCAGCAGCAGTTAGATGCTGGTAACGTTGTTTGTAGTTCCTGGTCCTACCTTGCTGCTTCCCGCTCGTCTTGACCCTTGACTTCTGTGACCATCAGATTCCCTGACCCCTGGACCATCTGACCATGAGGATTGCTGCTTACCTGACTGGACTGGACATGTCTTTGGATGCTGATTCTGCCTTCAGGCAAGTATACCTCAGACACTCTTCTTGCTGTATGGTCTCCCACTCCACTGAGCTCAGCAACAACATTACGACATAGGGTAAGTATGTGGGCACATTGCAGAGAATACCTCTATCTGAAGGCTGGTCAGAAAGCAGTTCTATTTGAAGTGCTGTGCAAACCGTATCTAGTTTATAGATAAAGAACCATGAGAAGGAAGAGCAGGGGGGTCTTAAAGTTACCCATAAATAGTTAGCATTTGAAATAAGAACACAAGTCACCAGGTCACAGCTGTCTCCACTGTGGTGAGATGTATTCCATTTCTAATTATACTGTGTTTCTAAATATTCATCTAGCCATATGCAAATTGTATACAAAATCATGTCTTTCTTGGTACCCTTTCTGGCAATGTCTAAGTGACCAGCCTACATGGGGCAGGGGAGATCAGACATTTTCTGTCTGTTTTTCTAAATTTTCCACGCTCCATTTTCCTGATATTAATGTTAGCAAATCACCTCAAACTGCCCTGTAGGGAAAACATGTGAGTATACTTTCCACTGTAAAATAGATACAGTAACTGTCTCAGTGGACAGGATAAAGCAATGGATAGGCAATATTGACCCAGGGGGATACTGGCCTAGGGAGGGAAAGGTTAACCCATCCTCATGCTACTTCGTTAGTTTGAAACTGCTTTTTCTTCTGCATGGGTATCTTTTTCTATAAAAGGAGGTGTGTACAGTAGTACCTTGGGTTAAGTACTTAATTCGTTCTGGAGGTCCATTCTTAACATGAAACTGTTCTTAACCTGAAACACCACTTTAGCTAATGGGGCCGCCTCCTGCTGCCGCGCCGCCGGAGCACGATTTCTGTTCTCATCCTGAAGCAAAGTTCTTAACCTGAAGCACTATTTCTGGGTTACCTGAAAGCATATGTAACCTGAGGTACCACTGTATGTGTGTGAGAGAGAAACTAGTGATTAAAGCCCCACAGAATAGGAGTTAATGAAGAAGCAATTGATCTGTAAGGACACAGCTTTTAATTAAAGACACAGGTTTTTTTAAACTTTAATTATATTGTGCCCAAATAGTCTCAACCTTGGTGCTGACTTGACCCCCCTTCTTTCCCAGTAAGTGGCAGCGTCAACTGCTGCTGGGAAGCTAGCCCAAGTGGGAAAGCCCCTTCTGTCCTGTGGGATGTACTACTAGTCAAGTACAACATTTTCCTGTTGCCTAGAATGGACACACAAGGGAATGTGGCTCCAGACAAGGAGGACTTCCTGTCATACCTGCTCTGGAGCTTCCTTCCCATGTGTGTGACCAAGTAGATGGGCATGAGCCTAGCTGACCAGATAAAAGGGCTGGCCATGCAACCATCTCTCTTGGACTCTTACTCTTGGATTCTTGCTCTCCTGGCTCTTAGTCTATGCATGGCTCAACCTTCACATAGGATGGAGCCCACAAGCAGAAAGTCTGATATGTAGCTCAGACTTCTTTTCACTGTAAGCACAATATAAAGCCTGCCTTTAGATTACTGCTTTCAACTGAATGTGAGTAAAACTTTATTCTTACTTTTAAAGAAGACTGTGTTGTGTTATTATTTTAAGAGAGAAATAAATGGGAAACTTACCTAAAACAATCCAGACAGGACAAGCCAGACTGAATTGCTTAATTAAAGGATTGTAATGAATCATCAACTTGCTTCCAATAAGCTCAAAGGGAATGTGCTCTGCTGTTTACTCACTAGCATGAGTGAGGAGGGGTAATATCAAAACAATATATCTTTTCCTACCTTCCTTCTACCCGCTGCCACCAATTAGGTCTCAAGAAGCACAAGAAAATGGAATAGAAAGCATCAGTATTTCCTAGATTCTCCATAAAAATATGAGTGAATAAAGTACGGGTGGTTAGCTCCATAGAAAATGGCTACTATGGAAGCAACCAGGAAACTATACCAGCATATGGGATGTCAGAAGTTGGTTGTAATGGTTTGGAATTATTTTATCGGGTGATTGTGTAGTTTTCCAGTTCCCTAACTGATTATACAACTCTGGATACATGATTTCAGTGTTGTCAAAAATAGCTATAATAGTCCAGATCTATAGAAGTAGCTTATGTGAAAAGGACAATTATGAAACATCAACCACATACAGAATTTTACCAAGCAAGAAATCATTTTAGTAGACATTTTTGGATCTAACACCCATCGTTGACCTTTTCCATTGTGCTAATCCCTAAAGTCTTAGAATTACCCTACCAGGTAATTGCACATGCTATAGTTCAAGTAACTCCACTTACCTTCAGGTACAGTGTTTATAATGGAGCTTTGCTGTCAATACTACAGTGTGGTGTTAAGCAAACACAGAAATCCCCATGAGGCAGAAACTGCCAGTGGAGAGCCTTTTATAAGCAAACAGTTGGAGAAAAACAGAAATGTTACAGCCGCTATCTCAAGAGCTTCACCTAGGGCTGTTCTTGTAAGTCTTTATTTTTGACATCTCCAGATCATTGGTTCCAAAGTAACTAACACAACCAACTTAAAGAGCTGCTTCACGGTAGAAGGTTGTGCAATGGATTGTATCATCTTGCTGCTTCAGCACAATGGTATTTGTAGCAATGTGGCTAATGGAAGCATCCATGCAAATATTTGGCACTGAGATGTAAAACACAGTGGAAAGCATTCACATCTGTCAGCTCTTGAATTAATGCATCACCTATTGCAGGGGGGCTGTTTGGCAAAACTTGATTAGGTTAGGCTTTGGGAGCCCATTGTTATAATTCACATTCATATTGGCAAAAACCTTTGCCTGGCAAAAGACTATAAAGACTACAAACCCCAGTCAACTTAATGAGTTCATAGACAAAAAGAGAGAGAAATCACAGTAACACTTTTCAGGGGAGGCTCAGCAGGACACAGAGATCCTGTATATTCAACAATTTTAGTGATATTGGAAGTAATAAAAGGTTTTACAATAAATCAGTGTGCAGAAGCATGTGGTTTCAGCTCTACGTTTTGTTAGATATGGCTCTGGCTCATACAATCACTCCTACCTACTCTACCCATATAAATACATACAAGCTAAATTCACTCTCCTTTTATCCCCAAACTATGACAAACAGCAACGCTGACCCCACTCTATTCCACTAACTTTGCCACCAATCAAACACTCTCCCACACCCAACTCCAACTATCTCCCACCAGTATTGTTGCCAACTGCTCATGAGAAGTAGAGATGTCTGCTGAGCCAAAGATTATTTGGCTTCTTTTCTTCCTTCTCCAGTCAATTAATAGGAAAGTTGTAAAACATCTGCTTGAATCTAGACCATCAAATACTACTCTCTCTGATGTATCTTTACTCCTGCCCTGCGCCCATGCTTGGTATGGGCAATACAGGTTGTGCTGTGCCCTAATGGAAGGACCCATACACCTGATTCAGTGCAGCAATACATACGACTGGGTTATAAGGTTCTGGTCTTGGCCATCAACACTTTCTTAATAGAGGCAATCAGGGAGGCATTGAGCATAATTATTTCAATTAGCAGCACCAATGACATGTTTTAGAGCAGCAAGAGCTCTGAAGACTGTAAAGAGAGCTAAGATACATTTAAGCTTCAGCTATTTACTTTGATTCCTAAGGAAGATAGAGGGGAAAGTACTTTCATGATTTGCTAAATGTATGGTTGCCCTTTACATATGGAAACCTAAGGCTTTGAGAACTTGGGGAAGACCTTTCAGTTGACTTTGCTGTACAGCAACGATCTATACAGACCCTGGTTGGAAGGGTAGCAGCAGTAAAAATAGGACCCAAGGGGAAAATGAAATCCAAAGACAGCAATATACATCATGCAGTGAGCTGTTTTATCCGTTGAGAGAAAATAAATCCAACCCACTGTTAGCCTCACAGTTATCTGGCATTGGTTTTTATTATCTATTTGATCTGAAAATGAATGAATGAATGAATGATTAATTAATTAATAGAAAGAGGCACTGTTTTTGTGCAGGGAGCAAAATACTGGTCTTTTTGACATCTGATGTGCAAATCAAATGCTTCTCATAAACTAGCAATATAAAAATATATAGTGTTTATTAGCATAAGAATGCAGAGTGTGAATCTAAGACAATTATATATCATGGTTTAATCAAAAAGGTTTTAAATTCCTTTTCAAAGTACCTTTATAAAATACCGGCACATTTCTGAACAGACTTATACAATCTTAAATCCCATTGTAATCAACAAGATATGCATCTGTAGAACTATGTTTGCACACTTTATTTTTTACATTAGCATCAGGAAATTGTGCATAAACAACCACATATTGTTGGGGAAATGTTTGAAACGTGATTTCGCTATGCAGCTGGAATATGAAAGATTGGTTTGGGTCACAAAGCAAGATATTCAAAATACTGTGAAGTGCAGTGTGGAATTTTATTCAGAGATTTGGTTGCATAGGTTTTAGCACAAATACCAACATGGTTATTAGCATCTATCGACCATAACATTGTTTAGTGTGTAAGCAGGAAGTTTTCTTGCTTCTAACATTTTCCAGCCTTAGAAAATAAATGGAGAAAAAAGAAAACAAATGAAGGAGACAATATGGCCAAAACAAACAGAAAAGTATGAATTAGGCTGGAAATCTAGGTCTGGTTATCAGAAGCAGCATATTAGATGTCTAAAATGTACTTCAAATTGCTGGCAGGAAATCACATGACTGGAATGTGCCTCCATGTAAAAATTGCACATAGAAAATTAGATGACAGAAGAAAAGGGTTCTCGCAGCTTAGTTAACTATGAAGTCATGTGGGGCAATTTTGCTGGTTGTATTTGAAACACATGGCAGCTTGCTTACAACTTTCCATATATTTCAAGAGAGTTGTAAAAGGCAGAAGCTATAATATTGTTACATCTGCTGGCATCTGCTGGCAAACCATGCTTTGTTGGGTGAATTTCTAGTTAATAGTGCAGAATTGTTGACTTTTGAAAACTAATGGTTAGAAAAAGTTAGATAGCAGGGGATGGGTGTGAATGACGACCAGCATATCTCCTTATATGTGCCCATCAGTGCAGGCACATACAAAACCCCAAATGAACACAAACTAGACATAAAGAGTGTGATCAACCCTAGCCTGGGGGGTAGGGAAGTCTTTAACTCTGTGCTAACTTTGTGGTCCTGGTCTGGATTGCCCTCATCACCAGCAACGGTTTACGTAGCCCAGGGGGTGGCAGCTCCCATTGATGAATATTTCTCTTTCTATGTAAATTGCTGGGGGCATGGAGAATCTGGGGGCAGGCAAAGGGACTGTGGTTCTTCTCCTTCACATTAGGGTTCCAATCTAGATTGAGGAAGAGCATTCTGGCCATTTATCTTTTATAAAATGTACACTTAAGGACACAGGGAGCTAACATATAATCCAATTTAGGGGTGCCAACATGAATAAAATATTGGGTGGGCAGGTAAGCCCCACCCCTCATAATCAATCACATGATGCAATGCCTATCAACTTTGGGGGACATCCCCTTCAAATAAGTTATTGGGGAGGGTGAAAGGATCTCAGCCCTAAGAGTTGGTTCCTATGATCCAGTTTGTTTCTGATTGCCGGCTGGGTTTTATTGGTAAGGCAACGGTTTGTTAGTATATTTCATTTTCCATTGCTGGATCATATGATCCTATGTCTACTTTTCTATACTGTTGTTGTATGGGAATGGAAGTCAGTCTGAGATACTTCCAGTCTTTGTTTTCTATCTCTCTTCTGAGGGAAGTGTCTGTGTGAGAAGCTGTGTGATGCAGCTCACTGGTCGTCATGATGCTTTTGTTTTCTTTGCTGTAAATGAAGATTCTGATGGCACATATCCGACACAATCTTGCTTTCGCTGAACTCTGCTAATGCGTGCTCACATCTACGGATGTGGGTTGAAGTGTTTCGTGGGATTGGCCCAGAGGAATGTCCCGATACGGTTGTTTTAGTTGTGTGTGTTGTCTAGAAAAATGTTTTTATTAGGCAACTAAGAAATCAAATAAAAAAGTGAAATGAAGTAAATTACAGCCATAATACACAAATGCAGTGACAACTATGACTGACAGTTGCTATTTCCCCCCAAAATATGATGCACAGAATATGCATTTTGAAGGGAAAGATGACGGTTACAAATTCAACAATGTTGCAAAGGAACACAAGTATCTTTCCTCACTCCAAAAATCTGTAGGTTTCCTTACGCCAACATGCAAATGGGAGAAGAGTGTTTCATGCTCCTCCTGCCCCAAGTCTCATCTCCTCACTGACCTGAATTTCTAAAGATTTGGTAGTAACAGCCTAGCTGTGATACATATTACTCTTCCAGTGATTCACTTTCATTACTCTCTAGGCATAGTATGGGCTCTTGAGAATCTTTCAAATCAAATATAACACACAGTCCTTTTTCATCCAATGTTTTCAGGATTATGCAGAAAACACATATCAGAATTGCAAGTGGTTGAAGAGGGCTTCATGATTTTATTTTATTTACTTTTCAGGATGATTACTCAACCCCTTTCAGTTATTTAATCTCCTTTTGAAAGGCTGGTTGTGTGTGATTACTATGCATACATGACATTCTTTCTGGCTCAATATTGGCCTGATCTTAATAATGAATTCTAAGGCCACACAGCTTTCATAGGTACCTAGCTCTGCAGCATCACAATACATGCTAAGCAATGAATTTAAAAGGAAAGTCTGGATGTCTTTTTGCGACAAAGGAACACTGAAAGAGTAAATGATGTAACAAATGGTACTAGGCAAATCATAACCCTCTCCATTAGAGTAGCATGTGGCAGCTCTTCACTGAACCATTAAGCTCCCAGAAATAACAGTATTCTAGCATTTGTGTTTGAATCCCCATAAAGATAACATATATCTAGGCAGGCCAAGTCTGCTTCACCTCTCTCAAGAGCTCAGGGGAAACAAATGTAATGGTAAGAAAAATGGTAAGCTGCTGGTGATGATTTGACTCTGAATTCATTATTAAAACTGGCTGCAGGTTGGAGGGATTTTGTTGTGTTGTAAATGTTTGATGGGTTCTTACGGCAAAAAGAAAAAAAGTAGCAGCTGAAATATCAGCTAGTTAAAGCATTAATTTGTTAAATCTTTGTCTCTCTAAATATATGCAGAATTAAATATTGAATGGTAACCTTTAGAAATATGCCTATGGATACAAGCAGACAAATCAGAATGAAGCTGTTGAATCATATGTATATACAAACACACACACACACACACACACACAGAGAGAGAGAGAGAGAGAGAGAGAGCGCAAATATAATACCATACTCTATAATGCACCGTATTGTGGTGAATGCAAGATATAGCTACAAGAAATTCAGACACTGATTATTTTTGGTGGTTGTTTTTTGTTACGTCTGTGTGAGTGTGGCAACATTTCTGAGGTGGCACAAAGACTGGGTTAAGACCTTTTGCTGCCTGAAGCAAAGGAATAGATGACACCCCTCTACCATACACATGACCCAGCTGGCATTTTTCTACAACAGTGGCAATGGGACAAGGTCTTCCACCACATTTGGGAGCAGCAGGCTAGCTTAAAGGTTGCAAAGCAGGCCATGTGGCACATACAGCCTTGCCTTAACAATAACATGTGTCATTTATGAATCAGAATCCCACAAGGAATGCTGAAGTGATGATATATGCGTGTGTGTGCATTGCCAGCTCATTTTTGTATATTTTTGTTTATAGCATTAGTTGCAACAGGTATCATACCACCTTGATATAACTTCATATCATTGTTCTCTTATAGCCTGGTATAATTATAATTTGTGAGCTCTTTTTCACGGTATTTCCCAGGTTTCCATAGGAATATTACCATCAATTTTCTGTGCCCATGTTATCATTGAATCTTTAACTTGTTTTCTCTATCTTTTTTATTAAGTAGTAACTAGTTCCATGTCAAACAATGGTGTGAAATAATTATGGGTTGTCTCTAAATTCTACTCAGAGTAAAACCACTGAAAGTTATCTGGGTTTACAGCGAGTGTGACTAGCATTGGATGACTAGAATTAGATACAACCCAATAATAATGGCATGCATCTTCATCCTAAACTCAGATGTAGCACAGTATATATAAACCAAGAGTAGAAGACCTAAAAGCACTGACTCCTCACTCCCACCCTTTCACATCTCAGTTTATTTACTGGAACTTTGATATGTGGTGAATTTTGTAAATATTGATTTGTTTTTAAATTTGTGGGACTAAATATTGATGTTAATGTAAGTTTCAGGCAAAATGCAATCAAGTCATAATGAAATAAATCATAAAATCAATAACTTCTGAAATAAAATCATCATATCATAAATCATGATTCCGTGAAATGATACTACATGTAATGAAGCACTGAATGTGCTTATTTGATGATGTGAAACTTATGATTGCTTGTTTATCATAGCACATGCTACAAGGCATATTGCTTAATTGGGTGAGTGATCATTTTTAAAACTCCTGGGCTTTTATGAGTTGATTTTTCAATATCATGTTTGAAAGTCCAAATGGAATAAGGTAATAAAACATACTAAAGTAAATGAAGCATAGTAATGAAATAGAGTTAGCATTCAAATCAACAAATCAATTAATGCAAGAAATCAAGATTTATGCTAACCACTTTTGGAATTGATGGCCATGATCCAAAGAACAGGGCAACTAGTTCCATATACCCAAGTTGACTTGGACCATTTCCAAGCATCAGTCCTATGGAGAACCATTTTTCAGACTGAGGACACTCTCCAAATGCAGTTGTGCTAGCCAGAAATAGTTTCCAAATGGACTGAAGGGGAATAGCTATTAAAAGCCTCAAATGGACACAGTTATGGGTATGCAGTGATTACAATATTCTTCTTTTATCTGTAGTGGTTTGGAAGATGACTAATCTGTTTCAGATCCACTCTGTACCATTTGTGTTTGATTTCTTATCCTCTTATCTAATCTGTCATATTAAATCTGAAGCTCTGTTTTCCACCCATTGACTATAATGGGGAATCTTCAAAACTGCTACCTATTTTTTTTTTCTTCACATAAGTGGATGGAATTTGCAGACAAAAGATTCCCCACTTGCTGCCACAATTGCATTAAGCCTGTTAAATTTCAGGCAGATTCATCTGTGGAGTGAAGGGGGGTGGACTTTTAAAATTTGATGTCTGTTTTGGATGTAAATAGCAGGCATAATCACATATTTTTAGGTTGGGGGTGCAAAATTTCAGGAAGATAGGTGCAGTGGTTCTCCTTTAAGGGCAGAGATTACCATTTTGATTGGGAAAATTAAAATCGTATTCCCTCTCACAGGGCTTTTTGTTAACGGGGTGGGGGTTAAAACTGGGGAAATAAGGGGGAATACTTTTGGGAAACAAAGCTGCAAAATTGCAGACACTTTCCACCCCCTCCTACCTTACCTCTTCTTAGGAGTAACCTCCATGGAGAAAGAGAGAAACAGAATTACAGTGTTAGTAGTTTTTAGGGGGAGGGCAAGGAAGTAGCAGGTGAACCCAATAGCCAATTTTTGCTGCTTGCATGCTGTTGTCACAGTCAAACCTCAGAGGATGACCCCCCTGAAGAACAGTATTTTTTATTTACTTCAAAACCCCTCTCCCAAGCTACTGTGATTGGAGTGACCTGGGGAAATAGTGCACTGAATTTTAAGTCAAATTACAAACAAAAACAAAACGCCATTTCTACCCATCTAAGCTCTGGACATATCCCTGGTCACTGGTTTCATTTGCTAGAAAATAAAAGGTATTTAAAAGTTTCCACAGTTAACTTGGAGAGGGGAGTGAAGCAGCAGAACTACACAGAAGGTTGGGAACTCCCATTTCACATCAACCCTCCTTAGTAATGGTGTGATTAAACTCAGGAATGTGGGAGTTTGCCTCAAATCACCTCAGTTTCTCTCATAAGTCAGATCTGCACACAGCTGAAACACATCACTAATACATACTGCTAGACTAATAAAGCTTATGTATTGAAAACTGTTCCCTGGAAATATCTGCATTGTCTCCCAGGTGTCTTCTCAGCTCAAACGGTAGGGGAGCTGACCTGAAGATATCCCTGACTCCCAAATCAGCTTTACAGTATCTAATGAATAAACATGATAACTTGCACCTCCACTAACATCTATATTAGAGACTTGGGTAAGATGTAGATTCTGTAAGCTCAGAGCTCACATGCAGTTTCAGCACTAGTCATCTTCAGATTGAGCCTTAAATAGGAGCTCCACTTCTGGCTTGATCTTCAATGACTGAGAGGGTCCTCCACACTTAAAGGGCACCAGCCTGCTTTAACTGTCATCAGCTGTGAAGGAATGAGGAAGATTGTGGTTCCACTGTGGATTCCGAGTTGGATTAGTCTGAGTCAGAGGAGCGCATTATGACCACAGACTGGCACAATAGGCTCCCTTTGATCTCCTGTTTCCAGGTGAGTTGGGATACCTAGAGCTGTCCCTGAGGGCAATTTCCTCTCCCATTCTGTATGTCTAGCCTTCTAATCTTCCAAGGACAGAGAGTGGAACCCAAGGCCATGATACCAACCCAGTCTGTACCTCCCAGATTAATGTGTGGATCTGAAATCTGTTATCAACCAGCTTTTCTGTTTCCTGAATGTTCCAGGGCAATTCTTGTCTGGAAAAGGGACAAACAAATGTATGTGGTAAAAATAACAACCCCCCACCAAGTTTTTCAACACAAGCTTAATTAATATTTAAATGCAATTTGTGTAGTTTTTAAAATATAAAAGATAGCAGATCAATTGCAGAACCATGATGGAATAGACTTAAGGGTGAACACAATGCATAAGTGACATGCACTGGCAATGGATTGTTTTGCATAAGAGAAGAGTCGGGTTCTCCTCTTCATAATTACAACAACAATAAAGTAAACAATCGAACCAAAATAAGCTACTTTAATACATCTGCTTCTCCCTGCCTCATGATATTCCAGCCCTGCCACATGTTTTAGGATTTAAGCTTTCATTTCAAATTTCAGTAGTTAATACATGTAGGTTGTTTCTTCTTCTTTTAATAGTTGTGCTTCAATTTACTGCTTACATCTTACACTGTTATCCCAATTGGGAGATAACACACGAGATGTTTAGAATCAATTTACACTTTGTAACATAAGCAATTTATTTTATTTTGATTCTCCCTTTTATGAGTTCTATCCATTCACTGAAATGAGCAAAAGCGGCAATTGACTTTAATGCTTGTTTTTAGGTGCTTAGCTAGCTGATCAATCAATTCCTTAGCACAGTGTTCAAGGTCCCTTGTCAACACAACTCCTATTATTTTACTTCAATGGGGGTTAAGCAAGTAAGGGATTAGTAAGTGGAGTGCTGGATTCCTCATTGGTTTTTCTGTCACATTGAGGTTCCCCACTCCGTAATGTAGCTGTATATCCCTTTGCAGGTATCTTTTCTCACTGCTCTGTATCTATATTGCTCTGATTTCAAATCTATAACATTGTATGGGACACAGTAAAGCAGAGGTCGGCAACCTAAGGCCCATGGGCCTCAAGTGGCCCATGGGGGTCATTTAACTGGCCCATGGACCCCTGCCACCTGCTCGTGGACTCCCCCCCACTTCAGGGCTGGAGAGTGCATTTTTTATTGGGACCACAGTAGATGAAGGATAGAGCTAAACTTCTTATTTTCCACAGTTATACTATTTCTTCCTTGTGGTGACTCTTTTTAATTTATATCCCACTCTTCCTGCCATCTAAAAACTTCTTTGAAATAATTCCAATACAGAGGCAGACTGGGAAGGATTTTGACTTAAAAGGCTTCTTGAAAGAGGAAGGTCTTTGATAGGTATCAAAAAGACAAGAGATAGCACATGTCTAATACTTAATGAGTTCCCTGGATGCATGCAACAACCATAAAGACGCATTCCTGTAATGTATGGAAGAGGCCCCTGATAAGATGGTATCTGCATGTGGCCCTAATCTGCAAAGCAGTGATTAATAGGGTGATACAAGAGTTTACAGGGTTTTTCCCCCCCTCTTCAGTTTTTTAATGCTGCTGTGAATGCCATTCACCCAACTAATTTCACATCTAGTTTGGACTGAAGGGGCAATGATCATTTCAAAAGTATATCAATCTGTTCTTTTTCTGAGTTTGAAAGGGTTGTGAATTACCTTGTACGTCATGTTCAGGACTGAGAGTCATTGTGGTACATTGCTGCATCATGGTACTTGGACTGAGGAGACTTCGGTCCACATCAAAATCAATCCTGAATTCACTGTTCAGGTCTCTGGATCTGAGCAATGAATTGCCGATCAATAAAATGGAAATATTAAGACACTACCTCAGAACATTGTGGGAAGGAAAGATTTGGCTAGAATCCAGAACAGATGATCGGTGCATGAATCAGGTTTCCGCACCCTGAAATTCCACCTGCATTTCAGTTCTGACAGTGCTGATAACCAGTGGAGTGTAAAACCTTTGAGCCCAACAACCTTTCATCATCTGCATACTGATGACAGTGCTGATCATCTGTTTGGCAAGGAATGATCAGATGCCCCTTTGTGCAGCCAAGTAGCTTCAGTGGCCACAGATTTTTATATAATGGTTTAAGGATGCAATTGAGATAAATTTGTGTTTGCGCCCATGCCCCATTGACATATTTATTAATCACATTTATTTCAATGGGATTTTGACATGTTATTTTCTCTGGATTGTGCCATATGCACACTAAGTAAGTGCTATAAGAAGTATTCATTATCATAATTTGACACATATTAAAAAGCTTGAAAGCATTTGTAAACAACCTCTGCATTTAACCTTTGTAGCTTAGAAGCAGAAACGATAAAGCAGATGTTTGAAATACTGATTAACTGTTGATGATAAGTACCAATAAAATTCTCCTACTGAATTATTATTTAGGGTACAGGGACGAGAATGTTTAAAACACTATCATTTACTCTGCTCAGGCTTGAATTGCCATCCCAACATTAAAATTTTTGGATGAGGGTTGGTAGGCCCAATATCCTTCTTCAATGATAAATTTTGACTATGTGCAGTACGTGAAGTTTTGTGATGGCGGAAATGGCAGGAGGAAATTCCGCAGCTTATAAATTCAGTTTTCCCTTGTCATGTGATTTCACTATATTTACTATTAGAAAATTTAATTTGAGCTATAACAATCCAGAGCAAATGTAACCTTTGCTCTTAACTATATCAGTAGGATGTTCTGACAGCTGTAAGGGATATGTCCTCAGCCATTTTTGACAATATACAACTTAAATTATGTACCTTACAGCCACCATGCAGGAAGCTGCCTTATACTGAATTTAACCACTGGCCAATCTAGCTTAACATTCTCTCTTTTTTAAAAAATACTTTTTATTGACATTTTTCATTCTCTATACTAAAATCTCAGCAGCTCTTTGGTATTTTAGGTGGAATTCTATTCTCTCGGCTGGCCTGGAGATTTCAGGCATTGAATCTGGAGTGGTGGTGGTGTGGAGCTACTGTGTACAAGAATGGTGGGGGGCCTGGTCATGGCAGTTTGGCCCTGCTAGTGCATCCAAGATGCCCTGCCCTTGCCACTGCCCTGCCCTACTCCCACACTATCTTGATATTCAATAGCAAAACCACTGCCAGGAGGCCAGATCTGTAGTGCCTTCCTTTAACCACCTGCTGCTCCTTCCTGGGACCTACCACTTAACTTTTTTCTTCTTTTTTAAAAAAAAAGCTGGAGGTTCAATGCAACAAAAATAAAGCACACATTTTTGAGCTTCCCTTTCCCCCCCAACACCACCACTATAACTACCAGAAAATAGTTACTAACGGGGGATGGGGATTGTGATAGGATAAAAACTAGATACTTTAGGCTTCTCCAATAAAGCCATCTATAAGCCTGAACTCCCCTCAGCTGAGATCTGTATACAGGGCCAAATGTAAATCTGGGGATAAAATACCACTACTTTCTACTTGTCCCCACAAGCAGACTTCGAATGATGTACCTCTAATATCACATAGTGAAAGAATCATACTTAATAAAGCAATAACAATATAATCATTCTCATTGTGAAGGCACCAACTGCCAAGCCAATTCCCCTATCACTGACAGTATACAGTTAGAAAGACTTCACCATACACCATGTAATTTATTACTGCTCAAAAGAATTGCTTCTAAGTTTGGTCTTGTAAATTTCCTGGCTGAGGATCAATATCACTTGTGTAAAGCTACAGTTATTCTGTATAACTACAGTGTAAGTCCTGTCAGAAAATGTTGCGTGTATACAGCCCTAGGGATATCTTTGAGTAGCGCTTTTCATTTGGAAAGCCATTTTTGTTGTGTGTATGACTTTTGGAGTGGCTATCCAAATCACTTCTGTGATGCTGGGTATACTGTGAAAACATGCAGTGAAAGCCATTTTAAAACACAATGAATATTTTCCGTCCCTTCGTTCAGTTGTGTTCTTATGAATAATAGAATCATAGAATTGGAATTCCAGTCCAACTCCCAGCAATACAGGCACCACAACTAAAGAATCCCTGACAAATGACAATCCCACCACTGCTTAAAAATGTCCAATTAAAGAGAGACCACCACTTTCTGAGGCAGATTGCCTTTAGAACAGGACATTGTTCAGAAGATTTTCTCTTTAAAAGGTAAAGGGACCCCTGACCATTAGGTCCAGTCGTGACCGACTCTGGGGTTGCGGCACTCATCTTGCTTTACTGGCCGAGGGAGCCGGCATACAGCTTCCAGGTCATGTGGCCAGCATGACTAAGCCGCTTCTGGCGAACCAGAGCAGCGCACGGAAACGCTGTTTACCTTCCCGCCGGAGCAGTACCTATTTATCTACTTACACTTTGACATGCTTTCGAACTGCTAGGTGGGCAGGAGCTGGGACCAAGAAACGGGAGCTCACCCTGTCACGGGGATTCGAACCGTGACCTTCTGATTGGCAAGTCCTAGGCTCTGTGGTTTAATCCACAGCGCCACCCATGTCCCTGATCTTCTCTTTACCTTTCTGTATTACATGCATGAAACTGAAATTCAAATAAATCCATTGTTCAGCTAAGAGATGGAGAACCCGTGGTCCTCCAGGATGTTGTTGAAGTCATCCACTTTAATTTTCATAAAAGAAATAATTGTTTACTCCCCAATAGGCATACTTTTTGTCACTTCATGTCTAACATACCACACATATGAGGAATATTCAGAGGAATGGTCAAACACATGTGGATATCCCATAGAACAAAAGAACAATTATTACCACTTTCCTCAATGTCAGTGCAGTGTGATATTTTTTTTACCAAAGCTCCTCACATCACATGCTCTGTTGCAAATGAATGCCTTGTTCTGTGGTT